AACAGATAATAATAAAATTAGTAATACTACTACTAATAATAAGTGTTTATCTCGAAAGGATTTAAAACTCTAGATACATACAACAAATTAACAATGGCCTCCCTCCCTCTCCCCCAACCAAAATAACGGGGTCAAAATAAGTCACCTCAATTTACATTTTAAAAGCTTTGTATCACATTAGGATAAAGTAGCGAAAATTCTAAGGATCCAAATAGCTATAATTATTAAAGATCAACAGTCCGATAAGAATTTTTCATGTAAACTAGAATCTTTTCAATTTGCAATAAAAAATGTGGTTAATGATATACAATAATAATACATTTGTCTCAATCTTAAGAAAGTTGGGATCGACTATTACATCATCATATTCTTCTGTAACAATAAATTTTGTGTGTGATATATATATTTCGGGTTTCTTTTATATACTATATAATGTATAGTCTAAGTTTAAAAAGTGAGTAACTCCTTGTAATGGACATTTATATATGGTTCGAAGTGATGTGATCCTAAATAAGTACGTAGATATATGCTAAAATAAGCTATAAATCTCTGTTGTGACTTTGGTGAGTATGTCTGGCACATAAATAAGGTTTGGATAATAGATTATGAGGAGCATGTCATAGTACTGCCTCTTACTACACATATATGCATCTTTGCTCATGTACTTGCAGAGTAAAATCGAGTTATATATTGCTATGAATAATATTTGTAGAACCATTTGATACGTCTAGTGTTTTGCCTCTCACTCTCTTTTCCTCAGATTTTTCTGTACTATTTTTTAGCACTAATATAGTAGTGCCTCAACAAGTACATAACATCACAATTCACAAACTATTAAGCGATTCCTACTACTACCCTTTAGGGTCCGTTTGGAAAGCCTCGTGTAATTACTTGATTGTGTAATTACTAGGATAGTAATTACACAGCACATAGTATTGTAATTACAATGACTTGTTTGTTTGTCATGATATAATTATGGTGTAATTACTTGTGTCATATTTGATTGTACAAGTGTAATTATATAAATAAATAAATATTTTTTCAGATTAACATGTAAATAATTTTCACTATATGATAAATATTTATATGTATAATAGATATTAAATATTATTATATATTAAAAATACATTTTCTTTTATAAGAAAATATATTAAATAATTATAAAGTAATACATAATATCATAAAAAGTACCACTTTTTTTTTTTAAATATAGATCCATTTTTTCTCTTTCCAATATAATAAACTATCACAATATGAAAACTGAACATGACAAGAAATGGTATTTGTATGCATTAGTTGTGAAGTAGAAGTGATCTGCCCAAATTTATTCTTCTACCCAAATTTCACCCTTCTAAAATTGAAAGGTCAAAAATTCCAATATTATAGCTCAAGGCAACGTGAAGTTAAGGAAATAAAATAGTTCAATAAGGAATCAACTATCAGGAAAATATGAAATACGAAAGGGAAAAAAATTACCTAGAGTGAAATTGCAGAGACGATGCTGGGAAGAAGTGAAGTAAGAAATGATCTGCCTTTTTATCTTTTTTGTTTCCTATGAATAGCATAATATTGAAAGAAAAAAAGAAATTGGAAAGGCTCCTTGTAATTGCGCCCAATTCTTTACCCCTCTTGAGAATTGGAGAGTGTAATTACTCCCTTCTAATTATACCTAATTCCTCACTAACCAAGTAATTACTTGGTCAAACATACATGTCAAAGTGTGTAATTACACCCAATTACACCTAATTCCAATTCTCATGTGACTTTCCAAACAGACTCTTACTCCCTCCGGTCCAATTACACCTAATTCCAATTCTCATGTGACTTTCCAAACAGACTCTTACTCCCTCCGGTCCAATTACACCTAATTCCAATTCTCATGTGACTTTCCAAACAGACTCTTACTCCCTCCGGTCCACAATAAGTAATTTTTTAGTTGTTTTCACACAGATTAAGAAATTCATCTTTTAACATTAATTAGTAATGAAATTGATCATATTAACATTTATTATCTCTTCATATAAACACTCTTAACACATACTCCAACACTATTTACTCCAAGGACAATGTAGGAAAAAAGTAATTAATTCATTCTTGAAATCTAGAAAAATAAAATATTTTAGATTTAAAAAAAAAGCCAAAAAATCAATTATTGATCGAAGGGAGTATTGTTTTGGTGACTTCGGCTGCTAAACAACCGTAACACTTAATAGTGATGGACATTCAATGTGGAGCAAATTCCAAGAAAATCTATTTTTGCTGCTTTGTGAATGATGGGTACAAAATAATTAATCTTTTGTATTATCATAAAACCTAACTAGATTTCAAGATTTTTGTAATTTGAGCTGAAGAATGGACCAGAAAAAGAAGCGTGTATGTAGTTTTTGGGTTATCATAGAAATTGTTGTTTCTTTGTAACACAAAAATAATTTAGTATATATATTTTGAATGAAGATAATGTGTGCACCTTCATCAACAACAATAATAATATACCTAACATAATTTCACAAGTGGAGTTCGAGAAGGTTAGTATGTACGCATATCTTATCCTGGAGATAGAAATATTGTTTCCGAAGACTCTCGGCTCAAGAACAAAAAGAAAACAGTAACAATAAACGGTATCAACATCGATATATAAAAAACAGCGATATAATAAAATAACTGAAGCGAAAAAAATAACAAGTAGGAAGACAATTCTACGAAAAGAAAAAAAGGAAAAAAGACTACAAGACTAATACTACTTCCACTAGGATGACAAATGAATATACCTAGCTACCTACACATCCTCCTATCTAGGAGGATGTTCTCGATAAGATGAAGTTTTGTCATGTCTTGCCTAATAAATTAACCCAAATACTTCTTAGGCCTATCTCTACATCTCCCCATGCCTATCATAACCAATATTTCACAACTCTTCACGGGGCATCAACGTCTCTCATTTTCACATACCTGTACCATCTTAACCTCACTTCACGCATCTTGTCCTCCACAAGGCCACTCTTACCTTGTCCCGAATAACTCCATGCCTAATCTTATCTCTCCTAGAATGCCCGCACATTCACCTCAGCATTCTCATCTCGTCTATTTTCATCTTTTGGAAATAAGAGTTCTTAACTGGCCAACATTCTGCCACATATAACATAGTCAGTCCAACCACTACTTTGTAAAACTTACCATTTAAGTCTATGAGGCATATTCTTTTCGCACAAAAATGTCGGATGGAGCTTGCATTTCATCCATCCCGCTCCAATACGACGTGTGACATCCTCGTCAATCTTTCAATTTCGTGGATCATTAATCCAAGGGAACTTTTTTTCTCGGGGAGGACTTAGTTGTCAAGCGACACTACCACGTATATATCACGATTCTCATCACCAAACTTGCATTCCAAGTACTTTGTTTTGATCCTGCACTTGAAATCTTTTGACTTAAGAGTATGCCTCCAAACCTCTAGTCTCACATTAACATCGCCCCGCGTCTCGTCAATCAGGATAATATCGTCTGAATATAACATACATCAAGATATTTCCCGTTGGATATGACGCGTAAATATTTCTATCGTCAAAGCAATAAAAAACGGGTTGGGTGCACCTCCATCAGTTGGCATAATTATGTCTCCATTGACTAAATCAGTAATTTCTTGTACATAATACAACAGGCAGATGTTCTTTAACAAACACTCTCTCTATATATATATATTTAATTGAATACAACCACACAAAAGCACTATGTAAAAAGTAAAAAAGCAAAACAAACAAGAAAAGAAAGAGAATAACGAAAAACGTATCCTAAAAGAAGTGAGAATTTGAAGATGTGACAAAAGAGTAGTAATGGGACATTAATTAGGTAAAGTAGAGCTATTGGAGGAAAACCCTATAATAAACTAAAAAACGAACCCACAATTTTCATTTTCATGCATATATACAAAAGCAAATAAGAGAAGAAAAGAAGATTGCTTAGTGGGACATAGAGACTATCCTTATGTGTGTTGGTAAAGTATATTCCATAAATATGATGCAAGTAAAATGGAAGTATATAAGAAGCTAATGTATAAGTTTCTAGTTTAATACAAAGAAACAAGAAAATTCATAATGGAGAATTTGAAGATTGGAAATACAAGAAATATAAGCGTTTGATATGACACAAGGTTATTTTTTTGTGAAAGATATATTTTTTGGAATATTTTTAGTTTCATAGTGGGATTGGTAAATCTATTTTTTTTATTACTGAAAAAAAAAATCCATGATTAATTAGTGAGTGAAAATTTAAAAAGAATGAGAAAATATACATCAAAACTTAATAATATTAATAAGTGTCTTGATGAAACTTTTTAGTACTAAAATTTAATATAAATATCTAAGTGTTAGTTGAAGCAAGTAATATAAAATTAAAAATTAATATAATTATAAGTAAAATAACTTCCACCAAAGGTGAATTGAAATATGGGTTGTGCCCCTCTTGTTGGAAAGTGATGAGAATTAACCTGGATTAAAAAAAAAGCTAGAAGATTCAAATTAATCTTTTTATAACACGAAATATCTTATTTTTGTCATTCGTTATACTTTAAGATCATTCATATATTTGTTATTAGCATATTATTTTATATTTTCCTTCAATTTGATAGGCTCCAACGTGAACTAATTGAATTTTACGTGTGAAATTACTTCAGAAAAATAATTCGAATTTATCTCTCACTTTTGAATATGGTCTAAAATTACCCGTTATACTTTAAGTTAGGAGGTTTGTGAGGTTCAATGATAAATACAAGACTATTTGCTAATACCAAGTGTATGAATAACATTAATAACAGATAATAAAATTAAGATTTTCGTAATGAAATGGTATTTTTGATTCATTAACCTTAAAAAACATAGAAACAAGGGAAAGTAAAGAAAAATAAAGAGGGGGAATAGAAGGTTAGAAAATGACATAAAATTTTTGATGTGATGAGTAAGACAGCATTATATCCTTTTAGAGTGGTTTTCTGGATTGTGGCCAAAATCCCAATGTTTTTTCTTCCCCCATTAAAACCCCATCAAATTCCTTAAAAAACACCTCAACTCTTCCCCCAACCCTCTCTCTTTCTCTCACTTAGTCTATGCCCTATTAAAATACCGCCTTCTGCCGGTAGTTTTTGCTACAAAACATAGGAGGAAGAGAGAAGACATCAAAAAACCCTTTTCTCTGCTTCTCTCTTTCTCTGTCCGTGCTCAAGGGTAGATGTGTTTTGTGCTGTAAAATCCAATCTTTACCATTTGAGGAATAATCTGAGATACCCATTTCGTTTTCTTTGCTGTAAATGCTGTTTTGTTTAGTGGTCATTGCTGTTTTCCTCACTGCTTTACTGGTAAATCTTGAGGATTCTACGCAATCTGGCTGGACTCACTGGTTTTGCAGCTGCTGAAAGTTTTTTTAGCAAAGGTATAATCTTTGATTTCAAGAAAATTTGGTTTCTTTAGAAAAATGGATTTTTGGGGGTAGTGAGATCTATTTATTTGTGTACTCATTTTCTTCTTGTAATTTCACTTCCCAAGGTTTATGATTTATTGTGTTCTATGAATTGTTTTGTACAATTTTGCTTTGTTTGGGTTTCTTCAGGACTTCTTTTATCCCTTAGGACAACTTATTCTTGTTGTTATTTATATGCTTTAAGGTTTCAAGTCGAAATCTATGAAAGTGGTGCTGCTTTCTGGATTAGCCAAATCTATTAAGTAGTAGTAAATTGTATATTTTGGGGGATACTGTGTTTTTCTTTTCACATTTTGTCTCTCTCCTCATTAAATGCATTTTAACTTTTAGTCGGAGGTGGGGATTTTATCTTTTTGCTTCTAAGTACTAGGACAAGGATCTTGATCTGTGTATTGCTTGTGCTTTCAGATTAAGAAATGTTATTCTTCATTTATATATCTGCTTCTTTGCCTTTAAATTCCAATCATATCCTATGTATATGAGGCATAAAAAGTTGCACTTACCTGTGTTAGTTTATATAAGTGTCCTTTATTTTGCAATGAAAGATTGAACTAAAAAGAGAAGTTTATCTGTAAACTTCGGGTGAAGATTCTCTCTCTAATATTTTTGATTGGAAATATTCTCCACGTCATTGCATCTTTCTATCTCTTTACTTGTTTTTGTTGGATACAAGTAACTTGGCTGCTCGGGATTGAGGTTTCTTATGTTAAATGAGACATGGTTGAAGTAAAACATCATTGTTGATCTTTCAAAAAAGTAGGTGCATTGAATTTATTCATGCTGCTCTATTGAGCAATAGTGTTTTACCATAGTACAAATATGACATAGGTCTTGCGATACATTTCTTACTTAGCTTTACTGCTTTGCTATTGCTATTAGGTTTTGATGTCAGATAGTCTTGTTATCCTCTGATCTGATGTTAGTATATTTGATCACTTACTTATGCTAAGGATAACTGTGGTTTAGTGAATGAGATGAGGTTAAATTGTTTTAGCTACTACATAATCTCACTCAATTTCTTTTGCTTCTAGAATTTTGTCCCTTTCCATCATCATGGAAGGGGAAACTTCGTGGATCAGTCATTGCCCTGATTACGTTGCACCAGACATGGTTGAGTTTGATTCATTTTCAGAGCTAAATGATGAAGACAACAGAGAAGCTTCCGTGGTTCTTGTGGATTTGATATTGCCTGATGATCTATTGGAACGAATATTGGCCTATCTTCCCATTGCGAGCATTTTTAGGGCGGGTTGTGTGTGCAAAAGATGGTATGAGATAGTGAAGTCAACAAGGTTCTTATGGAACTTCTCTCAGGTGCTGTCCCAAAAACCGTGGTACTTTATGTTTACAAGCTCAGAGGAACCAGTTGGTTATGCCTATGATCCTTCCCTTCGGAAATGGTATGGTGTTGAACTCCCTTGCATCCAGACATCTAATTGGTTCATTGCTTCTTCATGTGGATTAGTTTGCTTCATGGACAATGACAGTAGAAGTGAGCTATATGTTTGCAACCCGATAACCAAATGCTACAAGAGCCTTGACGAGCCTCCTGGTCTCAAGTTCTCTGATTACAGTGCATTGGCTATCTCCGTAAACACGAAAACTTGCTGTTACAGTGTCACCATTATTAAATCTAAGCAAGTACCTGGTAACTTCTTTCAGTGGGATCTCTCAATCCACATATACGACTCTGGAACAATGATGTGGGTAACCCCTTTGACTGAGGTCCTAACTGGGTGGAGAGGTGGGGATGAAAGTGTCATCTGTGATGGTGTTTTGTACTTCTTGATCTACTCGACTGGAGGTGGTGGTCCAGACAATCGGCACGGCCTAATCACTTACAACCTCTCAAGCAGATCATCCCATGGTTTGTTGATAAGGAGTTTCATTCCAGTGCCATGTTCTCTAACCTGTGGTCGATTAATGAACCTCAAGGAGAAGTTAGTAATGGTGGGAGGGATCGGCAAACCAGATCGGCCTGACATAATTAAGGGGATTGGCATATGGGAACTTAATGGCAAGGAATGGCAAGAAATTGCCCGTATGCCACACAAGTATTTTCAAGGTTTTGGAGAATTCGACGATGTTTTTGCCAGCAGTGGTACAGATGATCTCATATACATTCAGAGTTACGGAGCCCCTGCTCTTCTTGTTTTTGATGTGAAGCATAAACAGTGGAGGTGGTCACAGAAATGCCCTGTGACAAAAAGGTTTCCCCTTCAGCTCTTTACTGGTTTCTGCTTCGAGCCAAGGCTTGAAGTGGCTCCCTGATTCTGCACTTCAGTGAATGTAATTGGTGCTCCTTAGAATCATATCTTACCTTTTCTCTCATGTCTTTTTGATTTTGTACTCCTTTTGTTATTCTTTTCTTCCCTGCCATCCTCTCGATACAAAGATTTCTGTGTTCTTGAAAGGTTTATACAACATGTACCGGCCGATGAGGCTGCTAATTTATGAAATGAGAATATTATTAATTGTTTTTTGCAGTCTGAGATGTAGATCACACTCATTTGAGCTTCCAAAGGATATGATTATTATGAGTACGTTTGGTTGGTCTGTAGTTTCTGTGATTGCATAAGCTAGAGTTCTCTCTTCTCAGAGGGGATAATGTTTAGGCCTAGTGTGTTTCCTTCTCCTTTCCTATAGTAGCAAGCTTTCCATCACTTTCCATCTTTATGGCAGTATCAAAATAAGATTTTTTGGGATGGGGTGCCTTTCTCTTTCCCTAGACAGTGAAAAGTTGTCTTGCAATTTACAAAGTCAAAACTGGAAGATGGGCTTCCTAACTTGTGACCTCATACTCTGCTCTTCAGCAATATCTTTAGACCTCATTTTCACTTCTTTTACATCTTTCTCACATGAGTCCTCAATTAGGCAGGGTAGATTTAAGATTTGAACTCTATGGGTTTGAGTCCGAGATTCCAACATATCCCAGTTGATATAATGGGTTCGAAATTTATTACTTGTGTACTTTTTAAGTCAAATTTCTAACACATGTATAGGATCTGAGCGGAAGCTAATGGATTTTGATGTACCATAACACATACACTGAATCCGCCTCTGATTAGAAAGCACATGATTGGCTTGTTTATGGACCATTTTTGATCTTTTAGGGTTGGGACCACATCTAGTTACCAAACTGAGTTTGATGACCATGAGAGTTGGCAGCATGCATTCCACATGGTAATGGGATAAGTGAGCTGTTGTCAAAAGCCATTGGTGATCCTGGTTTCACATGTCCTCAACTACTAAGTTTTCATTGGTTAATGGCTACTCTCTGTATTTTGGTAGTCATACCCATGCCTTGAGTGTGTTTTTGAGTTTTGGTATAGCCATTTTCTTGTTTCTTCATACCAAGAATGAAGAGCATGATTATGGAAACCCCCTTCACTATATACTGATGGCAAAACTGACCAAATTGCATGGAAAATGAAATTTGACAGTCACATATTCGATGGAATAGTCGACGCCTGTCCAAGTTTATCTGGACACTACTGTTATAAGAAAAATAGAGTAAAATTTTGTGTAACATCTTCTATTTCATCAAAAACATCTTCTATTTGTATGACATTTACAAGGTATTTTTTTTAACCTCTAATCTAGAGGATGCACTATATGACTTGAATGTCTTGACCAAACTTCTAAAATCTGCTTATTTTGAAATGTGTTTTTAACAATAGTGCTTTTCAAAAAAATATTTTTTGTGAAAATCAAGTTTATGTTTGGCTAATCAATTTGAAAAGCACTTTTGAACAGCAATTAGTGTTTGACCAAGCTTTTAAAAAGTACTTTTAAGTGTATTTTTCTCAAAATTACTTTTCAAAAAGGTATTTCTGGGAAGAAGCTACTTTTTTCTGCTTTTCAGAAACTTGTTTCTGCTTATACTCAAAAGCATTTTTTTTCCTTCAAAAAATTTGGCCAAACAACTTAGCTTTGAAAAAAAATACCTTTGACAAAAAAATACTTTTGGCCAAGAAAAAAGTTTGGCCAAACAGGCTATAAGAAGAAATTCTTGTTCAAATAATTTCAAGGGGAAGGGTAATTACCATACTATTTATATCTTTTCTGTTTCAGGATTGTTGGTGGTTCTATTTTATGAGTCCATAAGATTTTTGAGGTGCGAACAATATTAATTCTGTCATCGTTTTATATTACTTTCTCTCCAAGCCAATTTATTTTACTCTTTTAGGATCTGCCTAAATAGTTCAAATTCATCATTCAATTATTTAAATTCAGAAATGATGAAATATTTTTTCTGTAGAACCACTTTTACAATCATTGCTTAATTTGTTTTAACTATAAATATACATAAAACAAATAACACCTTATATTTGTCCAAACGAACTCTTTCATATAAAAATGGATGAAGACAGTAGCTTTTATGTTCTCGCATGCATTTGGATGACTTTGTTTAATTTAATATACGAAAAATGATTAAACTATAATAAATCTAGATTAGTTAATTATATTTTTGTAGCATTGTGTTAAAACAAAATAGAATTCCTTTGTTATTTTGTCGTCTTCACACCAAACAATTACACAAATTCCTAGGTGATGTGTCCTATTGTCCACTGAAGTTTGGAACACAACAAACTTAATAAAAACATTACAATTTTTAAATTCATGTTTAGAAAATTACTCCTATACCAAGATAAGAAGCTGGCATTTCAGATCTAAAATCCATGTCAGACGCCCATTTTTATCTTTTATTCGTCTATTCTTTCCACTGGTAGCTTGGGAAGCACCATTAGAAATTAGAATTCATTTAAATCTATATGAGAGTTGAAGAAATAGTAGTTTATGATGATGAAAGTTCTAGACCATGGAAAATTTATGTCGTCTTCTTTTTTCGCCAAGAGAATATTAGTACAATTTATTGAGTTGATAAATTTGTCTTATTCAGTCTGCTAATTGTTTTTAAATGATTTACAAATAGTTGTAACCTGACAATATCACAGGGATTGACAACAAATTGGAATTATAAGCACTTTGAAACGTAACCTTCCCTTAGGCCTAAAGCGAGGCCTCTTTATCCAAATTTTTGTTATTGATTCTGAAATTTATTGTTTATATCTTAATAATATTTACGCAGTTTAGACTGTGTAGATTGTGATAGGATAGCTGATATTCTTCGACCCTTCGCTAGAGAAGTAGATATCTTGGATTTGAACCTTAGGAATGAAAAACTTCTGGTAAGGATATTTTAACCTCTTAGTAGACCTATCTGAAATATTTAAACCAATCGGAAAAAGATGTAAAGTACATCTTTTGGTATAATTATCTGGCCATAGCACAAAAAGGGAAATATAACTAATGAATTAAAAAATTATCTAGTCGAAGAGTTGTCTTGACTTAGAGATGACACACTAGATAAATGTTTTGTCAATTAAATAGTAAGGGGAAAACGAGAACGAAATTAAGTTTGTCTTGTATTATTTTATGTCATCTTCATATATATAACATTGTTAATTAGAAATATTAATTAGAAATACTCAAAACATTAGTTCATTTTTCGGGGGAAGAAACAATTTATGCAAAGCCCAACAAGATTGTAAGACGTTTCAGTCAATCGATCTTCTCTGCTGTATTATTTAGGGCTGGCATGTGGGTAGGGCCGAGTCCTAAATGGGTCAAGTGAGTTGGTCCAAACAGTCTCGGTCCCCGGATCGGTCCCAAATTAAACTAGCTAAATGATCATTTTGTAGGTATCAGCCTGGGATCGGGCCCACGAACTCATAGTCCCGGACTAAACGGTCCTGGCCTGTAGGCTAAGTGGGCCCAACGAATATTTTGTTTTTTAAAATTAAATAGAAATTAGAGACAAAAAGATGTTAAAAAAATATCTAAGGCAATGCATTGTAAATTTTATTATAGAATTGTGACCTAAATTTTTTAATTCAAATTTAAAGTCTAAAGACAAAAATATTATAAAGAGATATTCAAAGCAATGCCTTGTAATTTTATTATAGCATTAAAAAAATATGGCAATATCTTTCTTAGTCTTCCTTTCCCCTATGGAATGAGCACAACAAGGTGCTAATACCACCATTGAGAAAAAAAAGAAACTAATCAAGATGTGCCAAAAATACAAGTTACATAATACATACTAATTTTTGTTCATACAAGTTACCTGGTATCTCTTACAAACTTCATAAATCCATCAAGGTCCGGAGGAATTTCCGTTGGTGGTGGCGGAAAAGTAGCTTGGTCATCGCCGCTTCCGGGCGAAGCGGCATCCTCCGCAAGTTCAACTAGCATTTCTTCATAAGTTTCGTCTTCCTATGGTTGTGATTCAACAAATCCAAAATTTCTTCTTTCCGAACGGATCCAATCTTTGAAAAGTACTAATTTTTTCAAGCTCTCCCTCATAGACGCTCTATAATCACCGAGTTGAAGTTTTGCTTGACTGAAAGCGCTCTCCAATGCCACTGTTGAAGCTTGAATAGTTAAAATGTATCGGGTCATCCTTGAAAGAACCGAAAAGTATTTTTCTTTGTCCTTCCATCATTCCAAAAGATTAAAGGAGCCATCAGGATTCACTTCCTCAATTCCCTACGACAAATAAACTTCAAGCTCATTTAGTTGTGAAATATCACTACTACTAGAACTTGAGAACCCCTAAACCCCGCCCAAACACTAAGTGTTCTTACTACCGCAGTTCTTTTAGATGATTGAGAATGAGAAGAAGAAGGAGTTGGAACATTTGGTCTAGCATAATTTAATGCAACTTGATAAGCATTAAAAATAGTTTGCGCATTTATTCTAATTGAGGCTATTGCTTCCGAAAGTTGAGACAACTCCCCGTCTTCAAGTGCTAAATCATTATAAACAGTTTCATACCAAAATTGAGGACCTCCTAATTTCATACAAGGATTTAACAAAGCAGCAACACCATAAATAGGGAGAATAGGGAAAAAATAATTTTTAAACTTTTGTTTCATAGAATCAATAGCAAGTTTATAAATTTTTCCACCATCTGAAAAATGAGCAAACAAATTTGTAAGTTCGGCAATATAAACTAAACAGTTAGAAATAGTTGGATAATATTGCCTAGAAAATTCATTTGTAACAATATAATTTTTTTCTAAAAAATCTACAAGCATTTTAACATTAGCCCAATCCTCATTCGTAAAGTGCTCATCATCATCACTTACATGTGCATTAAACGTTGAGTTTATGGGGTTTCTAAATTCATCTGCAATAACCAAACTTTCATACATGTAATTCCATCTAGTTTGACAAGGTTTAGGAACCTTTCTTTCTCTTAGGCCAAATTCATCGCATCTTTTAAAATATTCTCTAAGTCTACTTCTACGGTTTGAATAAAAAAGTGAGTTAAGAGCCATTTTAACCTTTTCAATTTCAATATTTAAAATTCTCATACCATCACCTACAATTAAATGGTAAATTTATGGTAAAATTGACTCTCGATAAATTGTAATAAACTATTGTCGCTAACAAGAATAGCAGGTATAGGACGGATATG